GTACATATATACATATCTACATATCTACATATAAACATATGTACATATATACATACACACACACACACACACACACACACACACACACATATATATATATACGAGGATATCGCTACTTTCCCATCTACAAGTATACATATATAGGTATAAGCCGCTTATGTCATGTTGCGATCATCAGCTTGTGCGCCACCGCAACAAATACCTTATCTGCACCCTTCCGTTAAGCATGTAGTGTTAAGTAGGTAGATTACCTGGTAGTCTTTAGTAGGTAGATTATCTGGTAGTCTTAAGTAGGTAGATTACCTGGTAGTCTTAAGTAGGTAGATGACATGGTAGTCTCAAGTAGGTAGATTACATGGTAGTCTTAAGTAGGTAGATTACCTGGTAGTCTCAAGTAGGTAGATTACATGGTAGTCTTTAAGTTGGTAGATTACCTGGTAGTCTTTAGTAGGTAGATTATCTGCTAGTCTTAAGTGGGTAGATTACTTGGTAATCTTAAGTAGGTAGATTACTTGGTAGTCTTAAGTAGGTGGATTACCTGGTAGTCTTAAATTGGTAGATGACCTGGTAGTCTTAAATTGGTAGATGACCTGATAGTCTTAAGTAGGTAGATTACCTGGTATTTGGTGAAGGAATACTACACACAAACGTACCATATAAATCATACACGCACACAGTATACATCCCGCCCGCGCATATGTTAAATCTCACAAACAAACACACACACACCACTTAAACCACACACCTTCAATTAAGCACATATACACATATTTGTATATATCTGTACGTATACATACATTCAATCAAGCACATATACACATACTTGTATATCTCTCTACGTATACATACCATTCAATTAAGCACATATACACATACTTGTATATAAATATACGTATACATACATATATAATAACACATGCCTTATGTCCTGTTGCCAGCTTCTGCCCCTTCTCAACCACAGTCGCGAAGACATCCGCCACCACCGTTCGCCTGAGTGTGGCGTCAAACACGTGCAGATGACGAGGATACTTATCCACTACAGTCGTGGTGGATCGGAGCCCATACGCACACACACTCACACGTTCTTTGATGGTCATGTGTGTCTTTAGACCGAGCATCACAGCTCCTACCATCACAGCCTCTCGTGGCCGGGGGGGTATGGCTAGTTTGATGCTTGTGAGTTTGGTCTTGAGGGTTTTCTGTAAGATCTGTGCGGTTGGCAGGGGTGTGGGAGGGTGTTGCGTATATATATCTATATCGTAATGTTTGTACGCAAGGGAATGTTTGTACACATTTGTATAGGGGAATGTTTGTACACATTTGTATAGGGGAATGTTTGTACACATTTGTATATGGTAATGTTTGTACGCATTCGTATAGGGGAATGCTTGTACACATTTGTATATGGGAATGTTTGTACGTATTTGCATAGGGGAATGTTTGTACACATTTGTATAAGGGAATGTTTGTACACATTTGTATAGGAGAATGTTTGTACACATTTGTATAGGGGAGTGTTTGTACGCATTTGTATAGGGGAATGTTTGTACGCATTTGTATAAGGGAATGTTTGTACACATTTGTATATGGGAATGTTTGTACGCATTTGTATATGGGAATGTTTGTACGCATTTGTATAGGGGAATGTTTGTACACATTTGTATATGGGAATGTTTGTACGTATTTATATAGGGGAATGTTTGTACACATTTGTATAGGGGAATGTTTGTACACATTTGTTTAAGGGAATGTTTGTACACATTTGTATAGGAGAATGTTTGTACACATTTGTATACGGGAGTGTTTGTACGCATTTGTATACGGGAATGTTTGTACACATTTGTGTATGGGAATGTTTGTACGCATTTGTATATGGGAATGTTTGTACGTATTTGTATAGGGGAATGTTTGTACACATTTGTATAAGGGAATGTTTGTACACATTTGTATAAGATAATGTTTGTACACATTTGTATAGGGGTGTGTTTGTACGCATTTGTATATGGGAGTGTTTGTACGCATTTGTGTAAGGGAATGTTTGTACACATTTGTAGAGGGGAATGTTTGTAGGGTTTTAGCTGTGCATGTAGATGTGTCCTTCAGTTTATGAGCATTCCTTGCTTTATCTACGGATGTCGTCAGATGTAATTCTGTAGATATGTGTGCTTTCAGCACCTGTGTACGTGAGGAAAGTTGATGGTGGGTGTCCGACTGCGTACGACTGACACATGCTTATCATATGGCGTAGTTGTAGTCATGTAGATCAATGCACATGTATATGTATATCGATTAGTTCGTGTGCATTATATATATATATATATATGTATATATATATTTATATATATATATATGTATGTATATATATATATATATATATATATATATATATATATATATATATATATATATATATATATATATATATA